GGAATTTCGGGAATTTTTGGGAATTTTGGGGGGTCCTGGGGGGATTTTGGGGGGGATTTGGGGATTTTGGGGGGTCCTGGGAAGATTTTGGGGGTCCAGAGGGGGATTTTGGGGGGAATTTGGGGTTCCTGGGGTCACATTCAGGAAGTTTGGGTCCAAATTGGGAATTTCGGGTCCAAATTGGGAATTTCAGGTCACATTCGGGAATTTTGGGGTCACATTCGGGAATTTTGGGTCAAATTTGGGACTTTTGGGGTTCCAATTGGGTCTTTGGGGTCCCAGTCGGGAATTTGGGGGTCCCAATTGGGAATTTGGGGTCCCAATCGTGAATTTGGGCTCACATTTGGGAATTTAGGTTCACGTTTGGGAATTTGGGGTCCCAATCGGGAATTTTGGGGTCACATTCGGGAATTTTGAGTCAAATTTGGGAATGTGGGCTCACGTTTGGGAATTTGGGGTCCCAATCGGGAATTTGGGGTCCCAATCGGGAATTTGGGCTCACATTTGGGAATTTAGGTTCACGTTTGGGAATTTAGGTTCACGTTTGGGAATTTGGGATCCCAATCGGGAATGTTGGGGTCCCAAATGGGAATTTTGGGATCAAATCCGGGCACCCCATCCCAAAAGTGAGGCGGGGGTCTCTCTCTCTCTTGCCGCCCGCAGGAGCAGGACGAGACCACCGCCATGCTGGCCGACTTCATCGACTGCCCCCCGGACGACGAGAAAACCCCCGAGCCCCCCCTGTAACCCCCCAAAATCCGGGGGGGGAGTCCATTTCCCCCCCCATCCCCCCCAAAATAAACGCAGCCCCCTCCCCAAATTCCCGCGCGCGCCCCGAGTCCTCCGCGCCGCCAGGGGGCGCTGCCGCCGCCGCGCGGTGACGTCACGAGCCGCGCGCCGAGGAGGTGCTGTCGCCGCCGCGTGGTGACGTCACGAGCCGCGCGCCGAGGAGGCGCCGCCGCCGCCGCGCGGTGACGTCACGAGCCGCGCGCCGAGGAGGCGCCGCCGCCGCGCGGTGACGTCACGAGCCGCGCGCCGAGGAGGTGCTGTCGCCGCCGCGTGGTAACGTCACGAGCCGCGCGCCGAGGAGGCGCCGCCGCCATTTTGGCGCCCTGAGGGAGCCGCCGCCGCCATCGCCATGAGGGAGGCGCCGCCGCCGCCATCGCCATGAGGGAGGCGCCGCCGCCGCCATGAAACCGCCGCGGCGGCTCCGCCTGATCCCGGCGCGCTTCGCCAGGCTCTCGGCCAGCCCCGAGCGGCCGCAGCGGGGCCCGTGGGGGCTGCGGGAGAAGCGGCAGCTGCTGAGGGCGCTGAGGGACGAGGCGCTGCGCGGCCTCCCCGAGCAGCGGCTGCCGGCGGCGCTGAGGGAGCGGCTGCCCCGCAGGAGCGAGGAGGAGGTGGGGAGGGAGGGAGGGACGGAGGGGCGGTCGCAGGAGAGCCTCGGAGCGGCCGCGGGGTTCCAGCCGGGGAGCCCCAGAATCGCCCCCAGGGATCCCCGAAATTCTCCTCATGGAACCTCGAATTCCGCCCTCAGGGGTCTGCAAAATTCTCGTCATAAAACCCCAAATTTCGCCCTCAGGGATCCCCAAATTCCCCCCTCAAAACCCCAAAATTCCCACTCGGAAACCCCCAAAATCTCCCCTCAGGGACCCCCAAATTCCCCCCTCAAAACCCCAAAATTCCCACTCGGAAACCCCCAAAATCTCCCCTCAGGTCTCCCCAAAATCCTCGTCATAGAACCTCGAATTCCGCCCTCAGGGGTCTGCAAATTCCCCCTCAGGGATCTCCACAATTCTCGTCATAAAACCCCAAATTTCGCCCTCAGGGACCCCCAAATTCCCCCCTCAAAATCCCAAAATTCCCACTCAAAAACCCCCAAAATCCCCCCTCAGGTCTCCCCAAAATCCTCGTCATAGAACCTCGAATTCCGCCCTCAGGGATCTGCAAATTCCCCCCTCAAAACCCTCAGAATTCCCACTCAAAAACCCCCAAATTCCACCCTCAGGGATCTCCAAAATTCTCGTCATAAAACCCCAAATTTTGCCCTCAGGAACCCTCAAATTCTTTCCTCAAAGACCCCAAAATTTTTCTCTTAGAAACACCCAAATTTCGCCCTCAGGGACCCCCAAATTCCCCCCTCAGGTCTCCCCAAAATCCTCATCATAGAACCTCGAATTCCGCCCTCAGGGATCTGGAAATTCCCACCTCAAAGACCCCAAAATTTTATCTTACAAACCTCCAAATTTTGCCCTCAGGGATCTCCAAATTCCCCCCTCAGGGACCCCAAAATTCCCACTCAGAAATCCCAAATTTTGCCCTCAGGGACCCTCAAATTTCGCCCTCAGGAAACCCGAAATTCTCCCCTCAGCGGTCCCCAAAATTCCCGCTCAAAAACCCCCAAATTCCACCCTCAGGTATCTGCAAATTCCCCCCTCAAAAACCCCAAGATTTTATCTTAGAAATCCCCAAATTCCGCCCTCAGGGATCCCCAAATTCTCCCCTCAAAGACCCCAAAATTTTCTCTTACAAATCCCCAAATCCCGCCCTCAGGGACCCCCAAAATTCCCACTCAGAAACTCCCAAATTTCACTCTTAGGGACCCCCAAATTCTCATTATAGAACCTCGAATTCCGCCCTCAGGGATCTGCAAATTCCCCCCTCAAAAACCCCAAAATTTTCTCTTAAAAGCCCCCAAATTCCTCCCTCAGGGATCTCCAAATTTCCCCCACAGGGTTTCCTAAATTTTCCTCTCAAAGACTCCAGAATTTCCTCTCAAAAAGCCCCAGATTCCCACCTCAGAAATATCTAAATTCTCTCCTCAGGGTTCCCCAAAATTCCCCTTTAAAGACCCCAAAATTCCACTCAAAAATACCAAAATTCCCCTGAGAGACCCAAAAATACCCCTCAGGGACCCCCAAAATTCCTCCCAAAGCCCCAAAATTCCCCTCAAAAATCCCAAAATTCCCCTCAGGGATCCCAAATTCATCTCAGAAACACAAAAATTCCCCTCAGGGACCCAAAAATTCCCCTCATAGACCCCAAAATTTCTCCCAGACCCCCAAAATTCCCCTCATGGACTCCAAAATTCCCCTCAGAAACCCCAAAATTTCTCCCAGACCCCCAAAATTCCCCTCAGGGACCCAAAAATTCCCCTCAGAGACCCAAATTTCCCTCAGGGAGCCAAAAATTCACCTCTGACCCAAAAATTCCTCTCAGGGACCCCGAAACTTCCTCCCAGAGCCCAAAATTCCCCTCAAAAATCCCAAAATTCTCCTGAGAGACCCAAAAATTTCTTTCAGAAACTCCAAAATTCCCCTCAGGGATCCCAAATTCATCTCAGGGACCCAGAAATTCCCCTCAGGGACCCCAAAATTTCTTCCTGAGCCCCAAAATTCCTCTCAGGGACCCCAAAACTTCCTCCCAGAGCCCAAAATTCCCCTCAAAAATCCCAAAATTCTCCTGAGAGACCCAAAAATTTCTTTCAGAAACTCCAAAATTCCCCTCAGGGACCCCAAATTCACCTCAGAGACCCCAAAATTCCCCTCAGGGGTCCCAAAATTCCCCTCAGAGACCCAAAATTCCCTCAGGGACCCAAAAATTCACCTCAGGGACTCAAAAATTCCTCCCAGAGCCCCAGAATTCCCCTCAGGGATCCCAAATTCATCTCAGGGACCCAGAAATTCCCCTCAGGGACCCCAAAATTTCTTCCTGAGCCCCAAAATTCCTCTCAGGGACCCCAAAACTTCCTCCCAGAGCCCAAAATTCCCCTCAAAAATCCCAAAATTCTCCTGAGAGACCCAAAAATTTCTTTCAGAAACTCCAAAATTCCCCTCAGGGACCCCAAATTCACCTCAGAGACCCCAAAATTCCCCTCAGGGGTCCCAAAATTCCCCTCAGAGACCCAAAATTCACCTCAGCAACCCCGAAATTCCCAAAAAATTTGGGAATCCCTAAAGTTTTAGCCTCTTGGGGAGGGAATTTTGGCCTCCTTGGGGGTGGAATTTTTGGCAGTCCCCAAAATTTTTTGCTCCTGAGGGGAAGAATTTTGCAGGGATGGGGGTGGGGGGAGGAATTCCCAAATAATTTCTGGATTTCTGGCGGAATTTTAAGGAAAACCCCCAAAAATTTGGATTCCCCAGGGCTTCCCACCCCCCCCCATGATTTTGGGGAGCCCCAAAATCGCCGAATTTGCCCCAAATTTTGGCAGATCCGGGCGCTGCTGGTGCGGCTGCGGGGCCGGGCGGCCCGGGAGGCGCTGAGCTCCAAATTCCGGAATTTTCTGCAATTCCAGCGCCGGATCCGCGCCCCCATCCAGGTTTGGGGGGGGAATTGGGGAATTTTGGGAATTTTGGGTGGAATTTTGGTGGATTTTGGGGGTTCTGAGCTCCAAATTCCAGAATTTTCTGCAATTCCAGCGCCGGATCCGCGCCCCCATCCAGGTTTGGGGGGGAATTGGGGAATTTTGGGGAATTTTGGGAATTTTGGGCAATTTTTGGGTGGATTTTTGGTGGATTTTGGGGGTCCTGAGCTCCAAATTCTGGAACTTTCTGCAATTCCAGCGCCAGATCCATGCCCCCATCCAGGTTTGGGGGGGAATTGGGGAATTTTGGGGAATTTTGGGTGGAATTTTGGTGGATTTTGGGGGTTCTGAGCTCCAAATTCCGGAATTTTCTGCAATTCCAGTGCCGGATCCGCGCTCCCATCCAGGTTTGGGGGGGGAAATTTGGGAATTTTGGGGAATTTTGGGAATTTTGGGCAATTTTTGGGTGGATTTTTGGTGGATTTTGGGGGTCCTGAGCTCCAAATTCTGGAACTTTCTGCAATTCCAGCGCCAGATCCACGCCCCCATCCAGGTTTGGGGAATTTTGGGAAATTTTGGGGGAAATTTTGGGGGATTTTGGGGGGTTCTGAGCTCCAAATTCCGGAAATTTCTGCAGTCCCAACGCTGGATCCGCACCCCCATCCAGGTTTGGGGGGGATATTTTGGAGTTTGGGGGGTCCTGAGTTGGGAATTTGGGAATTTTTGGGGTTTTTTGGATGATTTTGGGGTTCCTTGGCTGATTTTTGGGCTTCCCAACCAGAATTTTGGGGTTCCCAACCCAATTTTTGGGGAGTTTTGGCTGTTTTTGGGGTTCCTTGGGTGATTTTGGGGTTCCAAACCCAGATTTGGGGTTTTTTTGGCTGATCTTGGGGTTCCAGGGCTGATTTGGGGATTTTTTGGGGGCTGATTTTGGGGATTTTTGGCTGATTTTGGGGTTCCCACCCCGGATTTGGGGTTCTAGGACCGATTTGGGGATTTTTGGGGTGATTTTGGGGATTTTTGGCTGCTTTTGGGGTTTCCAAGTTAATTTTGGGGATTTTTGGCTGATTTTGGGGTTCCCAGCCTGATTTTTACGGTCCTTGGACCGATTTGGGGATTTTGGGGGCTGATTTTGGGGATTTCTGGGGCTGATTTTGGGGATTTTTGGCTGATTTTGGGTTCCCACCCCAATTTCTACGGTCCTAGGACCGATTTGGGGATTTTTGGGGCTGATTTTGGGGATTTCTGGGGCTGATTTTGGGGATTTTTGGCTGATTTTGGGGTTCCCACCACAGATTTGGGGTTCTAGGACCGATTTGGGGATTTTTGGGGATTGTTGGCTGATTTTGGGGTTCCCACCCCAATTTCTACGGTCATAGGACCGATTTGGGGATTTTTGGGGCTGATTTTGGGGATTTTTGGGGTGATTTTGAGGATTTTTGGCTGATTTTGGGGTTCCCAGCCCGATTTCTATGGTCCTAGGACCGATTTGGGGATTTTTGGGGCTGATTTGGGGATTTTTGGGGCTGATTTTGGGGATTTTTGGCCGATTTGGGGGTTCCCACCCCGATTTTTGGCTCCCCAGGTGTGGCAGGACCTGGCTGAGACCCTCGTGGGAGGAGCCCTGGAGGGACCCCCCAGAGCCGCCTTCTCCCAGGTGAGGGGGTCCGGGGGGGGATTTTGGGGTTCAGGGGGGGATCCCCCAAATCCCCCCACCCCAAATTTGGGGTGAAACCCCCCAAAATAAAAAAAAAATCCCCCAAAAAAATCTCCCCCAGGTGCTGACGCTGGCGGCCACCGAGCCCCTGACCCTCGCCTGCTCCAGACCCCCCCAAAATTTGGGGACCCCCCCAAATTTGGAGTCACCCCAAAATTCGGAGACCTCCCCGGAGGTGGAGACCCCCCAAAATTCGGGGTCGCCCCAAATCCGGGGGGGTTTTGAGGTGGATTTTGGGAAGATTTACGAATTCCTGGCGCGGATCAGCACAGGGGGAGAGGGGCCCCCCCTGCCCCCCGCAGGTGAGTTGGGGGGGGGAACCCCAAAATTTGGGGGGGGTCCCCAAAAATGTGAGGGGGGGAAATCCCAAAAATTTGGGAGAACAAAAATTACAGGGGGAAATCCCAAAAATTGGGGGGAAATTTTTTTTAAGGGAGAAGGGGGTGGGAATTGAGGGGGGTGTCCCCAAAAATTTTGGGGTGGGGGGAGGGCAGAATTGGGAGGGACCCAAAATTTAGGGGGGAAATCCCAAAAATTCTGGGGAGAAATCCCAAAAATTCGGGGAAGAAATCCCAAAATTTTGGGAGGTTCCAAATTTTAAGGATGAGGGGGGAGGTCCCAAAAAATTGGGGGCGGGGGGGGAGTATGTGGGGGAGGAGCAAAATTTGGGGTTCCCAGTCCCATTTTGGGTTCCCAGTCCAATTTTTGGGGTCTCCACTTCAAATTTGGGGGTTCCCAGTTCAAACTGGGGGGTCCCAGTCCTAAACTGGTCCAATCCCAGTCCCATTTTGGGGGTTCCATTCCCATTTTGGGGTTCCCCATCCCAAACTGGAATGTTCCATTCCCATTTTGGGGTTCCCATTCCCTTTTGGGGTTCCCAGTGCCAAACTGGAATGTTCCATTCCCATTTTGGGGGTTCCATTCCCATTTTGGGGTTCCCAGTTCAAACTGGAATGTTCCATTCCCATTTTGGGGGTTCCATTCCCATTTTGGGGTTCCCAGTCCCAAACTGGAATGTTCCATTCCCATTTTGGGGGGGTTCCATTCCCATTTTGGGGTTCCATTCCCATTTTGGGGTTCCCAGTCCCAAACTGGAATGTTCCATTCCCATTTTGGGGTTCCCATTCCCTTTTGGGGATCCCAGTCCCAAACTGGAATGTTCCATTCCCATTTTGGGGGTTCCATTCCCATTTTGGGGGTCCCATTCCCATTTTGGGGCTCCCAGTCCCAAACTGGAATGTTCCATTCCCATTTGGGGGGTTCCATTCCCATTTTGGGGGTTCCCAGTCCCGAACTGGAATGTTCCATTCCCATTTTGGGGGGGTTCCATTCCCATTTTGGGGTTCCCAGTCCCAAACTGGAATGTTCCATTCCCATTTTGGGGGTCCCATTCCCATTTTGGGGGTTCCCAGTCCCAAACTGGAATGTTCCATTCCCATTTTGGGGTTCCCATTCCCATTTTGGGGGTTCCATACCCATTTTGGGGTTCCCAGTGCCAAACTGGGAGGTTCCATTCCCATTTTGGGGGTTCCATTCCCATTTTGGGGTTCCATTCCCATTTTGGGGGTTCCAGTCCCATTTTGGGGGGATCCCATTCCCATTTTGGGGTTCCCATTCCCATTTTGGGGTTCCATTCCCATTTAGGGGTTCCCCATCCCAAACTGGAATGTTCCATTCCCATTTTGGGGGTTCCATTCCCATTTTGGGGGTTCCATTCCCATTTTGGGGTTCCCTGTCCCAAACTGGAATGTTCCATTCCCATTTTGGGGGTTCCATTCCCATTTTGGGGTTCCCATTCCCATTTTGGGGGTTCCCCTTCCCAAACTGGAATGTTCNATTCCCATTTTGGGGGTTCCATTCCCATTTTGGGGTTCCCATTCCCATTTTGGGGGTTCCCCTTCCCAAACTGGAATGTTCCATTCCCATTTTGGTGGTCCCAGTTCAAACTGGAATGTTCCATTCCCATTTTGGGGTTCCATTCCCATTTTGGGGTTCCCAGTCCCAAACTGGAATGTTCCATTCCCATTTTGGGGGTCCCATTCCCATTTTGGGGGTTCCCAGTTCCATTTTGGGGTTCCCAGTTCAAACTGGAATGTTCCATTCCCATTTTGGGGGAGTTCCAGTCCCATTTTGGGGTTCCCATTCCCATTTTGGGGTTCCCAGTCCCAAACTGGAATGTTCCATTCCCATTTTGGGGTTCCCATTCCCATTTTGGGGTNTTCCCATTTTGGGGTTCCCATTCCCATTTTGGGGTTCCCAGTCCCAAACTGGAATGTTCCATTCCCATTTTGGGGTTCCCATTCCCATTTTGGGGGGGTTCCATTCCCATTTTGGGGGTGCTGACCCCGTTTTCCCCCCCCGCAGAGGCCGCCGTGGTTCTGGCCTTACTGGGAGCGCTGCCGGCCGAACTGGGAGCACTGGGAGCGCTGGGGGGGCTCCGGCGGCGGCTGCGGCGCCTTTGGGGGTCCCTGAGCGCCCCCCGAGAGCCGCCCCGGAGCCCCGAGCCCCCCCCGTGCCCCCCCCTCAACCCCTTACTGGTGCCACTGGTTTTACTGGGACGGGCGGCCTGAGGGACTGGGGGGGGAAATTCCCAAATCTGGGGGGTCCCAAATTCCTGGGGGGGAAAATTCCCCAAATTTGGGGGGTCCCAAATTCCATGGGGTGAGACCCCAAATTCCCGAATTTTGGTGGGAGGGTTCCCAAATTTCCCGGGAATTCCCAATTTTTGGCTGGTGGAAATCCCAAATTTTCCGGGAATTCCCAATTTTTGGGTGGGGGAATCCCAGATTTCCTGGGAATTCCCAAATTTCTTTTGTTTTTTTGGGGGGGGGCATGTCCCAAATTTTGGGACGATCCCAAATCCTCTCTGCTCTTGCCCAGGTTTTGGGGGAGGGGGAGAGAAAAACAAAAATTGGATTTTCCCAAAATTGGAGCTTTTGGGACTCGTTTGTGGCTGGACTGGGATGGAACTGGGATGAACTGGGAGAGAAGTGGGAGGGAACTGGGATGGAAATGGGAGGGACTGGGAGGGAACTGGGTTATACTGGTTTGTACTGGGAGGGACTGGGAGCACTGGGAATGAACTGGGATGGACTGGGAGCTGGAAATGGGATTGGGATGGAACTGGGATAGACTGGGAGGGAACTGGGATGAACTGGAAGCACTGGGATGGAACTGGGATGGAACTGGGAGGGAACTGGGATGGACTGGGAGCACTGGGATGGAACTGGGGGGGAACTGGGATGAACTGGGAGGGAACTGGGATGGACTGGGGGTTACTGGGATGAACTGGAACTGGTTTTGATGGAACTGGGATGGACTGGGAGCACTGGAAATGGGACTGGGATGAACTGGGGGTTACTGGGATGAACTGGGAGCACTGGGAATGGGACTGGGATGGAACTGGGGGGGAACTGGGATGAACTGGGAGCGCTGGGAATGGGACTGGGATGGACTGGGAGCACTGGGANGGGAATGGGACTGGGATGGACTGGGAGCACTGGGAATGGGACTGGGATGGACTGGGAGCACTGGGATGGACTGGGAGGGAACTGGGATGAACTGGAAATGGGGCTGGGATGAACTGGGAGCACTGGGAAT